TATACAAAATATGTGCAAAAAAGAAAGCAAATAGTTCTCACAATTTCAAATAACCATTTCTTTTTATTTACAGGGTGAGCGGTAAGTTGTTCTATGTAAACGGTTCCCATATACCATGTCGTATTTTCTCCTCTTTCCGGTTCAGGTTTGATATGGAGCGAAGTGAAGCAACTATGGGACATTGGGCTTCAAGAATATGTGAATGATATGTGGAATGTTATAGATTTTGTAACAAATTCGTTATACGTGGCAACGGTCGCCTTACGCGTTGTCTCTTATTTTCAAGTACAAAAAGAAATGGTGAACAATAAAAATGCTCCTGATTTGCCTCGCGAGCAGGTGAGTTAAATTGTGATAAAGTTAAAGGTATTTTGATAAAGGTATATATATTTATTTGCAGTGGCATTCATGGGATCCAATGTTGTTATCAGGTGAATGCTTTTTCTCTAGCATCCGATAGGTTCCTCTCATTCTGAGACTAGATCAACTCTATTGAAAAGTTTTCATTGTTACACAAGCGTTCAGAAAGACATACATTTATGCGAGCAATTGAATGATGCTTGCATCATTTGATGCGCATCGCTAGTGCTTTCTTTATGCGTTCGGAGCACTTCGTGCGCTGCCGAAGATCCGAATGTATGGCAACAGCACAATCGATGCGCATCAAATGATGCAAGCATCATTCAATCGCTCGCATAAATGTATGTCTTTCTGAACGCTTGTTGTTACAGCACAAATTGAAATGCATTTCAATTAACTCGATGCTCTTCTCTTCTTTTTTCCATGTCAGAGGGCCTATTTAGTGCAGCGAATATATTCAGTTCGCTGAAATTAGTTTACATATTCTCAGTGAATCCCCATCTTGGGCCACTTCAAGTGTCACTTTCACGTATGGTAATTATACCACATAATATTGTAACTGACACATATACATAGTAGCATTTATTACTGAAAATATTATTGCATATAGGTAATGGACATCATGAAGTTTTTCTTCCTCTATGTGCTCGTGTTATTTGCCTTCAGTTCAGGTCTCAATCAGTTGCTATGGTAATTATATTTTATTGTATCTTATCTCTTTGTATAAAAATCTATCCATAAAACCGAAGTGAATACTTTTTTTATTATTTTTTCTCCTGTATCGATATTATTATCGTTTGCTGTTCATTTGGTTTTCTTTTTGTTTTACTTGCCCTTAGGTACTATGCGGACTTGGAAAAAAGACGCTGCCCCGAATTGAATTTTAGCAATAACTTTACTCCGAATGATACGCAAACAATGGCAGCCGACCATAATGCCTGCTATGTTTGGAGACGATTCGCTAAGTAAATAAACCCTTTATGTGTATACTATTGCACAGTGTACACTGTACAATGTGCAAATTTTTTGCGCGTTTGGTTTCTATTCATTCAAAAGTTATTTTAAAGTTGAAAAGATTCAAAAAGTGAAAATCTCGAATTGAAAACTCTCTTTTATTCGTCTGACAAAGTTTTTTTAATAGAATTTTACGTTTTATATGAACTTAAGATGCCAACAGCATTGTCTTAAATGAATTCACATTTTTTTTTCTCCACAGCTTATTTGAAACAACACAAACTCTGTTCTGGGCCGTTTTTGGTTTGGTCGACTTGGACAGCTTTGAATTGGAAGGCATAAAAATATTTACACGGTTCTGGGGTATGCTGATGTTCGGAACATACTCTGTGATAAACATCGTGGTGCTACTAAATCTTCTCATTGCAATGATGAATCATTCGTATCAGTTGATATCGGTGAGCTTCTATTTACGTCATATAAACATTTATTTTGAATTCCAATGTAAAGCAAAACGAGAAAAGACGAATAAAAAACCATGATGTCAGTTCAACACGATTAAAAGTACATTTATATCCCATCGTTGTACCTCAGATGGTGGTAATGTTCATTGTTCAAACTGATATGGTTCAGCATCATCAATTTTTAAAAGATCCATAACTGACCAGTAGCCCTTTCGACAGTTGTGTCACTATGAAAGAAATATTGTTGATTCTATTTTTTCAACATAATTTTCCATCATAAAATGATTTATCATTCTATTGTTTTATGCTTCTGTTGCTACGTGCTTGCTCATTTTTCTTTTATTTTATTCTTTTTTTTTTCTTTTCCATTTTTTTTTGTCCTTGTGATAGGAACGGGCTGATGTGGAATGGAAATTCGCAAGATCTAGATTATGGATCAGTTATTTTGAAGAAGGCGGTACCGCTCCACCACCGTTTAATGTTATACCAGCTCCCAAATCAATTTGGTACATTTTTGAGTGGATGAAGAAAAAGTTTTTCGGCCGTTCAAAAACCATAAAAAAAGAACACATGAAAACCATTCGGGTGAGTCATTTTAGATTAGAATGTTTCATTATTATACGAAAAATTGCATTTTTCCAGTCAATCCAATTTAATTGAAATGTTAAATTAAACATGAATAAAGTATTTGATTTGTTTTATCATCCCGAAAGAAAAACAAAGAACAAATGACTTTTACGATGAAACACATCGACATGCCGTAATTGATGCTACTGAAATATAACCGAATATAACCATTATGAGCACCAAATGTGATAATCCGAACTGTTCATCGTTAGTAAAGGAAAAACGATTTACATGTCTCTCGTTTCACTGTCAATGTCGACGCGAAACGATAAGGGGTCGGATCCAAATGCCATTTTCTATTATCCACTCTGTCCTCAGATAATAATATGTCTTGCAAACGACTTGTTTTTTTTTCGCTCATCACCTAGTTCTTTTTGTGACACAGCCTATATAACGTTGTGTTCATCAGTATTTTTCCGGTTGTGTGTTTACTTCTCGTTATGTTTATTCATCGTGCACACCATCACGTTCGAGAATGAAAAAGCGTTTAATCTGTGAAACATTACAAGAAAAAAAAATACTTTACGTGATGTTGAAGTCTTATTCTTTTTCCATGCATACCAACTACGAAAAGAGACACTACGTCGGTGCAGAAATAATCTACAATTAGGAATAGGCAACAATGTCCCAAATTACAATTTCATCGTTTTTCAAGCAGGAAATCACGAATCATATTAAATATATATTGCAATAAAAAAATGTGCCCATGCCAACAATGGAATAAATAGGGATTTGGCGCATCAATCGTAAAATAATTGTCTTTTTTAATGAGTTTTCTTCGAGTTAGTATATAAAAAAATGTTCATTGAATCTACCGATATTTTAGTGCTGTAACTTACTCACACCTACAATGATTTTCCATATTTTCTTGGTTGAGTGTCTCTTTGGAAATATCCTTGCTTAATATGTTTCATACTCCGCATATACACCGCATATTGAGTGACGGCTGCTAAATTCATTATTCGCAGAGTTTGGTTGAACATTAAATGTACGATGATTTGAGCCATGTGTTGAATTACACTGTTTTTCTACTCTGTACATGTGTCAAATCTTTTGTGAAATATTATTTAGCACCAAACTAAAACACAACAAAACTCTCTAGATGATTTGAGTATATGACAAAAAAAAAGACACGTCCATCATTGTAATTTGGATTGTTTGCACAAAAGACAAACATATGAGCCATCATACATGTTTGTCATTCATTATTGCACCAACGCACTCAAGTCCTGGATTCCATAAGACACACCAGCACCGTAAATTATGATATGAAATGATAATAATAACTTCGAAAAGTGAAATAAACATGGAAGGTTTGTGACTTTTGTCGACGAATGTTCAAGATGAGAGACGAATGAAAAATGAAGTTGAATTCCACAACAGAAACTTTTGCATATACTGATACCGTACTGTGATAAGGACGAAGAAATGTAGTTGAAAGAAAATAAAACAAACCAGAATTGAATCATTAAATAAATAAATTTCTACGTAGACATTATGATTGTTATCATTTACATAATTTTGTTTGCATTATTTCTGATTTCTTGGAAGAAATCTTCAGGAAATTCATGAGAACGGAAAAATATTCGAGTGTAAATCAAACATTATTATAAATGTAGATCAGAGAAAATATAAAACATAATATCGAACCTCCGATTTATGCGGTCTTAAAATTTGGTTAAAACACATTTCGGAATTTCCTCGATAGAAAAACTATTTCCCAAAATTACATTGTATATGCATTGAATTACGATATTCTTCATTGGTGACATAAAAACACTCGAAAAGTGTAAAAGCAAATGATTTGTCAACAGATTTATATCAATGCCTGTGTTGTTTGTCGTGCAAATTGAAAACATTTTTATGTATTCCTCCCTTTCATGTTAAATGTGACATTTCATTTTTGCTCCCATTTATGATGCATTTAATTCAATTTTACCAAGCTCATTCGATTATTGTGCTGTTTTTCTTTTTCATTTTGACGCAGAAGAAAGCAAAACAAGCAAATGAACGGGAATTTAAATACCAGGTGAGTGTTGAAACGGATGGCGGTACATGGCCACATCCATGTTTGCTTTGTGTGCAACTACAGTACAAGCAATAAGCTTCACATACACACCGTATTACAGCGTGTGTTCTTGTAGTATGGAAATCAAACAATCCCATTGTGTAAATACTGAATTTTTGGTTGTCGCACGTTCTTATTCCATATTTTCTTTTGTTTGTGGTACGATGATTACTCTGTTTGGCGAACAGCAAATTATGCGAAATTTGGTGCGTCGCTATGTAACAGTACAGCAGCGTAAGGCTGAATCGCAAGGTGTCACAGAGGATGATGTAAACGAAATCAAGCAAGATATTTCGGCATTTCGTTGCGAAATTGTTGAGATACTCAAAGGTAGCGGCATGAACACAAGTACTGTGTCAGGACAAGGAGCTGGTAAGTAAAAAAAGCAATTCATGTACAAAAAGATGTTTTTCTAACGATAAAAATACATATTTTTCGATGCAATTCACTCGGTAAATTGAACACGGTTTTCGTGATGTTTGCTCGCGTGATAGGAAATTGAAATAGTCAGCGAACTCAACTAAACCAAAGAAGAAAATATATATTATGTAGAGCAAATTTACTAGCGGTTCAGTTAATGCATTTCTAAATTGAGCCAAATGTGATATGTCATTTTAAATACAGTTATATATATTCAAGACATTTTCAAGTGTATGTGCCATTTTGCTTAGTGGCTTCAAAAGAATAAGAACAAAACTCAATACGTATAGCTTTGACATGATAGCATTTTCGCTGAAAATGTCAGAAGCATCTGCGCCAACATAATTTATGGCAGTCGTACAAAACATTGTTCCACTCTTTTGCCAAAAAAATCTTTTTTAAAGCCGTACGCTGAAATGTTAGATTCACTTACTGATCTATCTACAAACTGAACATGAATAGGAAAAAATGAAACGGAAAGAAACAGAAAAATAGAGCATTTCAGAGGATAAAATTTATATAAGCATAAAATATTAAACCAAGAATGGGAAACGAGCTGTAAATTTAACCGGATCGTCATGTGCCAACGCACCCAAGGGTGTTGCGCACATTCTGGTACTTGTTGAGCAATTTTATAGTTGTTGTTTTTTTTGTTACGTGAATATTTTGTCCGCATTTTGTGCATTTCGTATACCAACACGTCCACAATTGCCAAAGTTCAGACGGCTGCGTTATTTTAATAGCAACAAATAAAAAAGAATTTTATTACACACTGTTTCAATGTGTCCCATAAATTTTCATATTATTTTTCCATAAAATTCTCGTTCAAATTTTTTTAGACGAAACATTAATGATTCGCAAAATAAGCTTTAAGCCAACATTTGATATCAGTAAAATGAAAAAAAGCACATATTCTAGTAAAACTTTAATTGAAATTACGCGTTGACGTCCATGCTGGAATACGTGCACTGAAGTGTTTGATTTGATGAGGTCTGACACAAATCCATTTACAAAGGTATCAACATCAATTCAGTTACATTGGTAGGCATTCAAACTTAAGTGAGCATATTTAAATACATTAGAATATAAGTACATTGTATAAACAAGCAGAAGAATGTTCGAGCCCAAGTTATTGCTCATGAATCTATGTGTGTCAACTCAGTACATAGTTTTTTGTTCAGTATTTCGACAGTTTGTGTTAATATGACAGACTTCATCGTTATATATTTACTACCTTGCGCTCTTTACACCCAGAATATAGTACATAAATTTCTGTCTTGACTAATCCGTTCTTTGTTTGTAAAACTCTGAATGCCAAATATTAGTATTGCTTCAGTTCACATTAGAACGCGTTCTCGCGCATGAGAGTACACGAAAAAAGTTCGCCAGGCACCAAACATCATATAAACAGATGGAGTTAAACATCACATTAAATTATATTTTGTTGTTGGTCTTTTGACAGGAGGAAAGAAGAATCGTCAAAAGGAACGACGCTTGATGAAAGGATTCAATTTAGCGTTGACAAGTACACAAGGTATGAATGCATTAGCTCCAGTAGCCGAATTCATGTCACCATTTCATTCAGGCAGCGAAAATTGCGACTACTATGGATCAACATTTGCGGGCCTACTGAATGCCAATCAATCTGGAATTACACCTCGACGAAATCCAACAATGTACTCAATGCAACAATATTCGTCGTCACAGAGTTCGTTCAGTGAATCGTTTGGCACCATTGGGCGCTTGGGTAAAATTGGATCGAAACTACGCAATACATCGCAAAAGAGACGATGGGGTAATTGAATAACAATTTACGTGTATCGAATTAAGAGAAAAACCATTCTAATCAAAATACATTTACTAATTTTCGATGTGCATCTTTTTTGTTTACTTACGATACTCACCTATCCAAACAAATACATACAATACGCATGCGAAACATCAAAATAAATCAACTAAAATTGAAGGTACATTGATTGAAGCGGCACGTCATGGCACCGGCAGTGTATCACGTTTTATTGGACGATCACGCTCCGAAGATTCCGTATGCAATTCAATACCTGCAAACAGTGCGAACAACAATAAAGGATCAGCCAGTCGAAGCAATAGTGCCGGTTCCGACGAAGGTGTCACTGCATCTCCAACTGATTCAAATCCAAGTATGGACAAACCTGACGTTAACACCGCTCCTACTACTAAATCTTCTTCTTCTTCTGCTAAATATAAAAACAAAGACCATCATGCGCATTTATATGGTAGTAGATGTAGTGACTTGAACTCATTGTCATTCTGTGTTTGAATTTAACTTTCAGATTATTTTATTTTTTTTTTAATAGCATTTAACATAATGCTATAGACATTCATAAACACATTTGCATGTTTTATGTAGGTTGTAAGTGAGCACGAATCGATAAAATCTGTTGGAATGTCTATCTCTTTTATTTCTCATTGAGTTGCTAATTGAATGCATGTCCTTTTTTATCTGTGCACACTCAACTGCGTCCATTAAAATTCACTTTTCGAATGTTTCTTTTTTTCCTGAAAAGGATTCGGCGCCTTGGCTGCGCTAAAACGAAAGCGGAAAAAGTTCAGCAAAAGTCGAAATACAAGTCCTGTTTTAGAGCCATCGGCACCATCAAAAACCGAATCTAGTCCAAGTAAAAAGGTACATTTCAATATTGCACATAGTTAAATTTGCATATTTGCAACATTTTATTTTCCAATTGGTTAGATCCTTAAACGAGCATCGAGTGTGCCATCACGTGCGGAAGACGAGAAAAGTCAAACGCATGACGGTGAACAAACAAGTAAAAGTCCAGAATCATCACAACATGAAGGATTGACTCCTTCAACAACCGACGAAAGTGTAAAATTTTCGACGGCACTACTGGATCCATTGTTGCGACAGACACATTCCCTAAACGAGTCTAGCTCACACGATATACCACAGTTGCCCAATGTAACACCAGTACGCGGACATATTAACTATCAGGGATGGCTTTAATATCATCAACACTGTTATCGCTTTCTAACTTCCACTATTTATCAACGTTGCACTTTCAATCGAATTTCCTATATCTCGTCGCCAATCATTTCGCAAAATGACATTGTCTCACAACGAAAATCAATTTCACATTCCTGAACCAAGTAAACACAAAACGAAGCTAACTTTCGTAGCGAACATGAGAAAGAAACGGGAAAGAAAGACAGTATGTATGTTTGTGTCAGTGGGAGATTGGGAAAGAGAGAAAATAGTTGAAACAAAAATGGTTAATTTGTTGAATTTCATAATATTCTCCACCCATTTGAAAGTTCAGCATACATTCTCATAAGTTGCTTCATTTCGATAAGCAGAAACTGAAGAACTTTAGTGGAAACTTTAAGTGACCTGATTTTCGTTCTCGTTGAATTTGCTCATCAAACCAAGCAAACAACAGCAACGATAGAAATTGAAGAGTGGAACGAAGTAAAAATATCAAGAGAGTACATTTTTGGCAACACAACAACGAATATTGAACAGAGCCAGTCAAGATGAAATTTATAACTAAGTTTTCCGAAGAGAGAAAAGAAGCGAGAAAAACTGCTCGCGAGAGACAAGAATTACAGATAATTTACATAAACACACGACAGCGTAAAAAAAACACCACAGCATAAACAAACTTGAACAAAACAAGAATTGCACATACGAATTGCATCACATTCAGCGTAATTAGAATGACTGCATTTTGCACAGACAGAAATATAAACGCATACACGCGAACATTGGCAAATAAGATTTTGAGGTTCAACTTAACGCGCAAAGCTAACATCAAACACAAGCCATGACTAATCGACCGAAAATCCAGATAAGTGAGTGTCCTGAAAACTGTGGATGTCGACAGTAATTGAATTTCAAAGTTTAAAGACATACCAAATTGTGGTTTCGGCATTTCAATGCAAACAATTTTTCACAACAACATAATGGAATTTTCTTAAAACAAATCAAAGTTTGTCATCATTTTGAATTTTATTATTCCACTTTATTCATAGTTTTGCATCAATGTTATATATTTTAAGAAAATACATTTATCAAAATCTGTTTTCTTTGTATAACTACTCTACATCATGTTTGTTTAAGTTGTTTTAGTTTGATTTTTATGATTAAATCGATGTTATGGATACGATTTATGCGTTTTATTTTCATGGAAAAATTCCTTTAAATACTATATCGCGATATTTGTATATTTTAAGCCGAACATATATATCTCGAGTTTATTTACATCTTTTAAAATTTTACGCCCTATATCTGTTGTGTCTATATGGAAATAATAGCTTAAATGAATCTTAAACATCTACTACGTTTTAATAATCAAAAAATGAAATTACAAACTAACGAAACTATTATTCAAAAAATTAAAATTGATTTGCACTGTCGTTAAAACGCGTTACGAGCACAAAACGATTCAAATTACAAACCTACTATACTAAAACTATGCACGATTGGACGGACGGATAAGGTCGACGATACACAAATACAAAACAGTACGTGGACATACTTAACACAATACATAAAACTAAAATATAAACTTAGGAAAAAATGAACTTATAGATGAAGTACACAAATTACATTTATATAGACCATACTAAATGAAAAAAAAAATCAATACGAATTATGCGAAAATCTAATATCGTTCTAAAGAGAGACGCATAGTCAATGTAGTTAATATAAATACAAATAAAGAATCTGGTTAACAACAATTGGTTTCGTGCATTCGGCCAATATTCTTTGCATAGAAATTTAGCTGTCCGAAACATACTATATACCTTTTGATTTGGTTAAGGCACTTTTAAAGAGCACATTTTATTTCACAGTATTATTGCTTCAATTCAATTACATTTAACCATTCAACTATTTTCTTTGCATTTATTTTATATCGAGCAAATGTATCGATGAGATCTACGTTCTATATGTTTTTAATTCGGTTTTTCAATGTGATCAAAACGGTGCACATACTCATTGTGTTTAAATGAAACAAAAACAAAACACTATTCCAATTGTCAACTATGACAAATTACACCTATCACCGAAAAAAAAAATCGAATTTAAAATTAAGACGAAAGCAAAAATTCTCTCAAAACAAATTTAAGAAAAATCGTTACAAAACAGAAGAAGCAATAGTCTTTAAATGAAATTCTCAGTAGGTATTTCAATGTGGATAAAATTATTTTTTTTAAAATAAAGATATTATTTTCCAACATGAAATCGCCGAACATATAGAAGAAGCACTATCCCGTGTACGAATGAAAGAAATAACATGGTTAACATAATTTTAATTATAGATTACTAAAACCGAAATGGATACATAGTTTATTACAAACTGAGCCTATTTATTATACACCCAAAATGTCCAGTTGATGAACATACAATTTAAGAAGAAATGAATGTACTTTTTTCATTCTTTTATTTTATTATTCATGTGACTAAATGATAAATGGATGATTAATTGTTGATTTTGATTATCTTTTTTGTTCTAAGCTCATCGGTTTCGCGTTTATTGATTTTGTGTTTTTTTTTTACAAAATATATTATTGGTGGCACTACACTGAAGTAAAGAAGTAATAATAGTTAGTGACAAATGTTATCAGAAGAGATATTATTTCAATAAATTCGTGAAAAATGATGTAACTGATGAAAAGAACTTTTTTCTTACACATTTAAAATCCTTAAAAAAAATCAGCCTATTAAATGTTTGCTGTTTTGAATTAAACTTCTGTTTGTGGGATACCTTCAATGAGGTGAGTTTTACTCGATTTAATACTTTTACGGGTCGTTGGAATTGGCGTCGTTGACAATTTGTACTCAGTTGGACTTTCGTCAGTTGAAATAGTTTCGCGTGATTTTTCATAATTACTTAATAGATTACGACCATCTTCATATCTTCCGCGTGGATTTGTCGATATACTACGGTCATTAAACTTTTTGTCGATTGTATCACGCGGTGTTGGAGTAACAGGTGATTCTTTCAGCGAAATTGCACCGCTATGCAATGACGTTTGGCTGTTTGTTTTCGTAGTTTGAGTAATTCCCAACGAACTGGGTGAACGAAGTGATGTTGTATCCTGAATTGATTTCGGTGGCTTTGTATCCTTGAATTCGTAGATGTTATCCGGCGTTCGTAACGGATTGGTTTGTGCTCCTTTATTTTCGATGCCAAGCACAGCATCCGATTCACCGGCATCAATAAATATATCACCGTCATAAAATCGGTCGGCTTGTCTAAAATCATACGAAAAAATGCCATAAAAGCAATTCACTTCGAATAAAATTCCAAAATTTGGCTCAATTTACCGTTTGGCATTGAGCAAAAAAAAAGGGAGAATGCAATGAAAGCAATTTACCTTTTAGCGTTCCTCCATAGTATGCAACACATGACAACAATAACCATTAGGAACATGCATGCTCCCGTCATACTCCAAAATGCTATTTGCAAAGGTTCCCTTGGCTCCCACCACCATTCCGTTGAAGGTGGATATGTCGGTACAAGCACCCCAATCACAGTTGGCAAGTACTAAAGAGGAAAAAAAATTGAAATTTCGATTGGCAACGATATTCAAAAAACAACACCAAGCGCTATTGCTATTGGCAATTTACCTGAGACCAAAAAGCAGATTCGGTTTGTCGAAAGTTCAGTAATATCGATGAATTGTATGTCGTATTTAAATTTAAATATTTTAATTCGCCATCTTTTGCCATATCGAAATGAATGCCAAGCACTTGTTGTGGTGTCGGGTTTCCGTAGCGAGCAAAATCAGTGTATGTTTTCATAAAGAAATGACTCATATTTCGATCATTGTCGGTCCACATATTTCGCTCCAAACGCAATTTCTTTGGGAAAAATTCGGTATCCATAAATGGTGCGCCAGTCAAGAAGAAATGCTCTGCATCGTGTGACACTTTTCGCCATTCTGGCAGCTTAAATGCTTCAACCGTTGTATTCATTACATACCAATAAACTGGCACTTTTTGCTGAACAAGCAATTTCACCATTTTGTCGACCGGTGCTCGGTACCAAAAGTCAGACAATAGCTACATTGTTTCGCGAACACAAAAAACACACATACGCAAAATAAATTAATAACTGAATTTTGAGGGAAATTGAGTGAAAAAATGGGATAAAAAGTAACTTACATGAATATATTGTTCACGAATAAATGTTGTATTTTTCGGATTAGGCCAATATGTATACATATATTTTACCGCTTCGTATACTCCAATTGGATTCAATGTATAGTTATATCGTAAAACCAGCTCTTTAACTTTTTGATCGAAAAACTTTTCGGTCACTTCGTAGTATGGGGACAGTGTTTCATTTTGTGCTGAAATCAGATTAAAATGGTATAAATTATTGCTTGTGTATTATTTTTGTTGGTCAATATTTGTTTTAATTTTACTCACAAATAATATAGGCAGCTTCTTGCATTGTAACACCTGTCATATAATGTAATTTTGGATTAAATTGACGTTTTCTAATGAGTTCTTCTGGCGTTTTACTCAAAAAGTGCCAATCTGCTTCTCGCCATCCTTCATACCTAAGGGGAGAATCACAAACGAAAAGAACGAATAATCGAAAAACAATTAGTCAATAATCTAAAAAGAATCAAAAATAGAAAAGCAATCCTTCATACCAGTTATCTCCTGGAAATGTGAAATTATTTTCAAGGACAGGGCCCCATGGAATATTTCCAACTTGTGGATTAAATTCAGCGTTGCCAAGTTCATAAAAACTTCTACCTCGTGTCAAACAGTTGACAATTTTCCATGACGATTCAATTGAACAGCCCAATAGCTGTGCATACACACGTGTTGTATTTTGAGCTCGATATTTATCTTGAATTAAAGCCCAATCGGCTAGCGCAGATCCACTTGTGGCTATTACTTTAGTTACAATGTCGCGAGTTTGAGGGGCCACCATTAATAAGCCCGCCGATGCTGCTCCAGCGCCTGGACCAAACAAAGTTATCGACTGACGATCTCCGTTGAAAAATTCAATGTTATCATACACCCATTTTAATGCCATCGATTGATCCAATATACCATAATTCCCGGGTGAATTTTCATCTCCAGTCGATAAAAAGCCGAGTGCACCCAATCGATAGTTTATGGTTACCACAACCACCTTGTAAAATGTCACCATTACATGGGCGGGAAATGTATTTGAGGCGCCATGTGAAAAATCACCACCATGAATATAAACCATGACTGGATATTTTTGAGCGATTCCAGCCTTTACACTGGGTGAAAACACATTGAGGTACAAACAGTCTGAAAAATCAATGAATAATAAAATTTAACATTAATTATTAATAATTATTTCACATCAAATTGAAATTACCTTCGTCCATGTCGCGGATACCTTTTGTGGCACCTGTATATCTTACTGGTTGTGGGCATGCTGGACCAAAATCTACGGCCTGCATTAATTGCCAACCACGATGTGGTCGAGGTGGCTTAAATCGTCCCTCCATTGTGGGTGGCAGAGCATATGGAATACCCAAAAATACTGAGCATTCACCTGTTATGCGATCAACTTGACTGTGCCAAGGACGGTAAAAACTTTTCGGATCGGGATCGTCATACAATCGAACCTTAAATCCTTGCACTTGACCATAGTTTGTTGTCACAAAAACATCTCGGTCCAATAGCAACGAATCACGTCTTTGCGCACCTTGTAAATCCTCTCTCCATCCACCCAATATTCCAGGGAATGGAGTTTGAACGTTTTGTGGATTATTCTGATATTGATGAATAAAAATGTATATTGCATTTTATTTTATTTTTTACTTGTTTATAATTTCAGCAGTACTAACCGGATCATATTTGAATTTATCTTCACCAAGAGGAACACCCTGTGGGTATTGAGACGGAAGTTTTTGTCCAGGATATTGGTAACCGTAACCATTTGGCTGATAATGTCCATATCTGCGATCGTTATATGTATATGTCCTGCATAACACAAAAACAGAATAAGACAAAAGTGTAAACACATATGTATGCAAAAATTTAAATAAAACATGAACTGCACATGATTGCTCATGCATGGTTCCTGTTAGTAAATTTGCATACTCCGTACATGTCTGCATTTTGTCGACTAATGAAGTTTTATTGTTTATTTTTGCCATTTGTTTCCCATATACGATTTTTATGTGTATATTACTTCGAAACAGAAGTTAAATTCAAATTCGAGAAAAATAAAGTTCAAACAATTTATTTAAATTTACCGATATTCTGGATCGCCTGGATTTGGCCATTGATAATTATAGTCTCCTTCACGACTGTACCATCTCGGATCGCGCGTTGAATACAGCTGACACTCACATAAATATGGCAAAACTAAAAATACGACACAAAGCATCCAATTGTGCCAGCTCAAGTGTCTGGTTTCATTGAATTTCCTCTTTTTCAAAACACTTTTGCACTTGAAAATTTGTTTTCGCTGGTGATTTATCGCCCTCTTAGCATGATTCATAGTCAATGGCATTTTGTTAGGAGTTAAATCTATTTAACTGTTTTAATGGCTGGGTTTTTAATTAACTGGGTTCAATTCATACACTTATCACTACTTGACCATAATGTGGCTTGTGGAATGCGTTTCTATTACACACTTTCTTTGTTTTCATTGGCCGATAACACTGCACTAAGGCTTCTGAAAATGCATAAAAACTCATTAATAAATTCAAAAATTTTCAAAATATCGAGATTGATTTTGTTCATTTCTAATCATCTTTTCTCAAATAGAATCAAGTGATTTATTTGAACTGTCCTTCTCAAATAAATGATTTTTTTTGGACTACAATAATTCAAATCATTCGATGAAAAATGTAAGAAATATTTTGAAAATTATAATGCGTCATGCATATTTTATGTGAGTTTTTCAAATCACAAAACCTCAAATAAATTGATTTGAGCTGCATGGCTCAGTTTTTATTTAGTCAGCATAATGACTCACACAAATTGACTGCACCTTTAACGTTCGCAAAAAAGTGCAACATTATTTCGTCGTCATAGAAACATTGTATCGGATTTTTAAAAGTTCAGCACTTGAGCGTCATGGTAAAATTGAATATGCGCAATACAATAATTAAATTTATTTTGAAGTTTTCCGAGTAGTCAACATAGAGACTGTAAACAAAACTTGAGGTGAATAAACCAAACATAATCGATCGAAAACCGTGAAATTTTCACAATGAAAGTATACCGAAATACTGAGTTAATGGCAAAAAAGAAGAACAACGGTCGATTGAAGAAAAAAATGTACAACAACTTTGTAATATAAAAGAAAGAGCGGAAAGACGGTATTGAGTAATTTTTGTAAACCGACACACCTCAATACAAATTCACAAAAACACCAGCTTTGGTATGAATAGAATAGAACGATACCTATATTCAATGCGCGTTTCTGGTGTCATTAAACGAAGCACACGTTTCATTTAATTATTAATTTACTTTAGACCAGACAACGAAAACAAAACCTGAGTATATTGAGACTGTCGTTCATCATATATATATATTATAAAATTTTATATGAAGCCAATACAAGAACGAAAAAATGAATTTGTTAATATTGACCCACACCGTCACGCACACAACCTCATCAATCGTTCACATTCGCAATATGTTATTATTCAACAACAGAAAAATTCAATAGCGAACATATTGTCATGAGAGCGATCGAATGAAAGAGAATAAATGTGAATGTATACGACGAGTTTCTATAGTTTTCAGCGTGTGCGTTTTGACTTTTATGTAGCATTCGGTAAAAACAGGTTTTATATTTTTTTAGTATACGAAATATAAACAACAAACACGCATATAAGTCTATATTGCACACAAGTTCTTCACACACCGTAAACACAACGTTAATTTTGTTCTTTTATATGTTTATCTGTCGCCAGCAAAGACATATTTTTTTTATTTTAGAATCAAACATATCAATGAAATTGCCTCTAAAATTGCAGCCCAATGTTTTGAGAATTATTGCTTAAAATGTGTGAAGCGAAGACTGTGGACAGCTTCGTATGGAATTATAGTCGTTAAAATCGCTGACCAAAGAGAAATTGAAAAAACCCTACAACTGTAAGAACACAAATTCTTTGAAGAAAGAAAGAGAAACAGAGACTTTTGGACATTTTTCGTCTTTTCTTTAGAAAACTTCTTGAGCTCACAAACAAACACAAATACATGCACGAGTGGTAAGAGAAGTATGCGGTATTTTTAGCCGTTTTCGAGTCTCGCTCTTCACTTTTCACCATTTTCATTGTTTTCTTTTGCGATGCTTCTTCATGAAATGCAAAAGCGTATGCTTCAAACTACACAACATTAAATATTGGAGGCACCGATATCGACTGGTTTTTTAAAAAAAACTTTTCTCCATTACACCAAACAGCGTTTTTTACAAAGTAAAAACGATCACGCACTTTCAAACAAATCGAATTCATTGAATTATTTTATTTTTTGTGTGTTATTTATTCTCTACTTGTGAGCACAAAATTGGAACAAATATTTAAATTGAAAAAATGCACACTACATGTTGCATGTTTGTAAAATTAAAATATGAATATTCATAATTGTTGTTTATCCATCGTAATCGCGTTTGTAAAACTATTCCTCTCTAAACGTATGTAGTATGTGTGCTGCGTAGCACACAGTTTCACTTTTTCAATCAAGATATTGTGCAATCGAAATTAACCGAGCACAAACACAGAATTGGATGTACCGTGTACCATGTTTTTGCTTCATCTTTTTTTTCTCCACACACTTTTTCTTTCATCGTTATTTCCCAACATTATACATTTTTTTCTCTCTCATCTAAACACAAATCACAAAGTGTGCCACTTCTCATGACTCTCTCTCGCATTGATATTCACAACAACAACTTCACACAACAAAACAAACGAAACAGAACTTTAAACGTTTATAACGATAAATGCACCTTTACATTCACACAAACACCACCACATTCTTTTGCTATATCGTGAATAGTTGTGTTGACTTAATTCGCTCTTTTTTACCTTCAAATTTCGAAATACCTTTTTAAAAACTGAAAACGATACACTCAAACACTTGCATCTATACACATACACACAAAACGAATTGACTAGCGATTCACTTCGCTCCGTTTTGGGAGATCGCTTTGTTTATGATTCACCTGCGACTCCAAATGGAATTGAAGTTTCGTCTTGATTTTTTTTTTGGTTAAATTGCGTGCCAATGTGGATTACACACAACTATCGGTTCTTATTGGCACACATTATGCTTTCAGCCATTGAAATCGGTGAGTAACACAGCGATAAAGCCACATAAAACACAGATAAGATAACAGAAATGTGAATATCAACTGACACACATAAATATTTGAACAATGTTTAGAAACTCATTTGCAATTGGAAAATTGCGTTATTTTTTCGAAAAAAAATTAAATATTATTATAAAAAACTAATGATTTGAAGGGAACACTTTTTATGGTTAAAACTCTACGTAGTAGATCGCCAACGCCCAATACACAGTGCGGTGTGTAATAGCACACAAGTTACCGCTTACTTCTGTTGCGCTTTGCTCGGGTGTACACTTTGATCGACCAGACCAAAAGCCAACCGTGTTTACGTGAAATAACTTTTTCGTGTCTGCAGGTTGTGTAGTCCAATTCGATACTGATTCAGTCGTTCTGTCTTAGCCACAGTTACCATTGCAGTCTTTCTCATTTATTCGCTCTTCGCGCGCTCATCGCAATCGCCTTCATGTATTTGTTTATATATTTGTGTGCGTCTGAGTGTGTATGTGTATTTCTATCGAATTTATTTAATTGTATACAGTTGTTAACTCAACTTTTTTTCTACACTGTATTCACATATAACATTATGGTTTTCATACATGTGTAAGAAACGCAACTTAAAACGGTTAATGTTTCTTAAGCTCCATATTTTGTGGTATGAGAAATTCGTACTCACAATAATTAAGCTCAAGCATCGCGTACGTGTGTTAATTTTTTTTTGCTTTTAAAGATCCAACATTTCGGTGGAATATAACATTTCTTTGCCATTTCCTAATCTCTTTTTTTCTCTTCTTCGCACTTCATTCGGTCCAAACAGATCCGCTTTTATGGTTATTTACTTTTCGCACAACGGTAATTATTGCCCAAATAATGACATAAAAGACATCCATCAACGTTACCAAAGCCAACGAAAAACCTAATGAGCCAAACATCAACGAAACTACCGTTTACGTCTTATTCTTTTGGATTTATTTTCGAAAAGAATAAAATAAATGTTCATGTTCATTAATAGAAATTAATAATTCCTTGAACCAGTTGAGTTTGTTCTTGTGTTTTTATTCTGGATAAAATAAACTTTTCGTACACCAATTATTATTTAAATGATCATTTTTCACTCTTATCCCATTTATTTTGTGCAAATATATAATACAATGTGCACTGCAAACCGCTGCAAACACATTACTCGCTCGTTCGCCTCGCTCTAGTAATAAAATACAATGAATTAATTCAACTTGATGCAAGTTAATTAAGACACCAAACGACGAAATACACACACAATTATGCTTATTAGTTGATTCATGCTTGGGCACAGTACCGCTCTGTAGGTCACAAGATGTTAATAACAGAACACAGCGTGTACAATGCACTCTGTATAAAAACAAAAGCAAATTTTACATTCTTAGTAAGAATTTCTTACTCATTCGAATTTAAAACACACAGATCGCTGTCATCGAACGAATGATTCATACTTATGAGACAACAAAATTCAATCTAATTATCATCGAATGTGTGTGCAGCCTGTGAATGAACAAGTTTCCAAACTAAATACTCGAAGGTTAATTGTTACTTCCGAAGCCAAATAAATTCTATTGAAAAAGAAAACAAAGAAAGATGCGGCAATTTTCATATGTTCTTGCTTCATTGAATTGCCCTCAAAGGTTAATTGTGAAATGAGTCCAGTAAATATATTAAAACTGACAAGCAATATGCACTGGAATTTAAAATCAAAGCGAAACAAGAAGTTTTACTCTCCTTTTTGCTACGTGTCGACGCGTTTATAATTTATTATTTTGAGAAGATAGTAGAAATGTACGTTTTTCATGGATTTTTTTGAAACAAATGTGCTTCAATAGAAATAAATTTAAAAAAGTTTTCGAGAGTACAGTTTAAATATTTAAGTTGACCCAAAAAAAATTGAAATACAGATTATGAATATTGCCAATATGCTCGAATTTATGTGAAGTTAAGAAGGTTACACATTTTTGTTATGGAACTTGATATAATATTAAACTTGAGTGTCAATAATGAAAAATAAATATAAGTTTTTCTTTACAAATCATAAACAACTTAAATGAATAATGTGTTTACATAAAAAAGCATTTCTTGCACTTTTAAATCTTATCTGATAATCAATTTTGAAATTAAGACATTTGATGAAAAAACACATTGTTGCGATGGGATGCAATTTAACGTGTTGAAATTGCTGCGTTTGAATACAAATCAAAGCATTCAATCATTCATCGGAAATTTAGTTGTCATTAGTAAAATGTTGATAAGTTAAACTGCTTTATTGATTTTCTTTATCATTCCATACAATGATATCATTTCATACCTTGATTTCATATATGTACGTATTCTATTTGTATTCATACTTCAAAATATAAACATTTCGGTTAAAACAAATAATAAACGGTGGCATATAGTGGCTAAAAGTGTATATAATCATTGGCTGGTCCTTCGTAAATAAAGTTAAATGGAGGCATTCTTCATTTTCCTGAGATTTTATTACATGCCATAAAATTGCCAGAAAACAAAAATGTTTAGCTGTGGTCGACAAAGTTAAGTAAAAAAAACCAAGTGTAAATATGACTATAAGCAAAAGCACGAACCATTTCTCAAATCCGTACAAAAGATGGCGCGCATATTCACTTGCAAGATTATCTACATCGAAACATATTAAACTATGAAGAAAATGCATTTTTGAATTGTTTCACTGATTTACCAGCTGAAGTTGTTACTTTTTTTTAAAGATAAGTCAATCATCAATTAAAGTAGTTCTGATGATGTTTTGCAAATTTTCAATCGAAAATATGTAGATTTTCAAGAATTTGTGCAAATATGTAAATGTTTGAATGCATTTTAAATTATAAGATGAAAAATGTCTTCAAATTTGTCATAAATCGATGGGTAACCAAAGTTCAAAGGTGATCGAATCTAGTTATTCATTTCATGATGAATTTGATATTTCTTAAAATATCAATATAATCGATCATTTTCCAAATGACGCAACAGAATGTCGATCATATTTAAATTTGGTGTCAAAACCAATTATGTCGCAAGATCCATGGATGCATTGATGTTGATAATTTTTGATGCATTAAACATCAATTTCTGGTTAGATGATTTCCTATGTGTGCTCCAAAAGTTCATCATACGGCTAACAAATATAAGAAATATCGAATATGAGACGAAAAAAACACACACACACAATATATCGAAACTATTATCTTTGGGCCTTTTTTCATAGTGCATGGCATTTATTTTTTTTCTTTTATATTTCACCCTCATTATTCAGACAATTTTTTTTCGGTGGTGACGATGATGCGTTCGCATATGCATTTCATATTTCATACGTAACGTATCAGATATCGCCTTACACTTTACTGCATCGTTCGTACACAATGTGCTATTGGCAACACGACATACGAAGCGATTGTATGCTTTTCCCCATACACCATAGTATACACAACGCACAGAAATGCTTCCTTCGTTCGTTTTATTCTTATTGTTCATGATATCGAAGTGCTGCTCATTCGATGCTCTGCATTTAAACAGTGCGTACACACATCGCTCGTTTATTGTACAAATCAGAATCGTTTGGGCCGTCGATCGGATCGGTTGTGTTTTCTGTGCTGGTGTTTACTACAATTTCTTTTCAGTGATTTTATGAAATATTCAATTAACGAAATTTCAACATTAAGCATTTCTATTTTTTAAAAAAAATTGAAAATTCAATAAATCGGCGGTGCCAGATATATCGTCTTTTTTTTAAATAAAAGAATACAATAATATTGTTAATTAAATCGTGATTAAATAAATCGTGCTTTATTTTAAATTGTGACCAAAAAATTAATCGTGAATAATGGCTGACGAAAGTCTTCAAGTACCTCAAAATCTTGATTACCACATAATAACATTATTCCAGCGCTTGGAAAATATGCGTAAAGATTCTCACATGCATCGCATAGACGGCCGTTTATCATCCATTAAAGCTAAGCAGCACATGCAAGTGGAAATTCGTACATTGGAATTTTGGAGGTATTTATTGGAGTCAAACTTGAATTTTATTGTCGCAGTAGTAAATCATGATTGTAATTTAATGTTTGCCTTCGTTCTATATTCAATTGCCAAATCGGAAATCCCAACTTATAGTCTAATGTTTGCCAAATGCTTGACTTTAAATTTTCGAAAAAAGGAGAAAACCATTTTACTGCAATGAAATCGGTCATTTCGGAAACCACAAAATAGGCCCTATCCATATCATTTCAAATTATTCCATTGGAAATGGCATCGAAATTGAATCTTCTTCGAAATTCGTTTTCAAAGTCGGAGTAAATCAAAGACCAAATGTGTTAGTGTATTATCTCTGTTATTTACAAATACAACATCTATTGATTTTTCATAGGAAATGTGCAATTTGACAACAAACTAAAATTTCAATCTCATTTAAAATTCAAACATTGGCCTAACGACGACGTCACTAGGACGGGACAAATATATAATGAATAAAACATTTTATCATTTCAAGTGAGAATCATATACCATCAGACACATTCCGTATTCAGGATTGCATACAAATTGTTTACATTCTAGTCCTTTGTCGGATATAAGCTATTAATATGCATAACCATAGTTCAATCAATTTTCTTGTCCTACGTTTTGATTGTGCACTTAATTCCCTTGTGAGTAAAGAGAGAATGTGTTATTAAGAAGGATATTGCAATTACTGAAGTTCATGTGTGGACCAGTTGACTTGTACATCTTGTAAAAACATCTGCATAGTCAGGTTTTGCAAACCCGATTCATATTTGCGACAACAATAACCATGTTTTTCATAACAAAATATTAAATTATAAAAAGTTCTCTATGTCTAACCAAACAAAAAATATTTATATTAAAATATAAAATGATAGACCATTTCGTGTCTATGCTCATCTGTCATCGGATATATTTCAATAAATCATGTTGAATCGATCAAAAATATAAAAAAACAATGAAGCCAAATAAATACAAAAAACACAAGAACATATGCGTTTGCTGTCGAGGTCAATTCGATGCATCATTCATATCAATTAGTGTTGATCGTAATTATAACGCATGGATAAATGTCTATAAATGAAGCGATAAAATGAAAATTCAAAACGAAATTGACCCAATTCATTTTTTTTTATTGTTTATGCGTTTTTCCATCAATTTTCCATCATTTTTACGCATTTTCAGGCAACTAGCAGAGTTAATTTTCATAACATTTTTTATGTTAAAAAGAAATATCCAATTCATAAAATGGCTATAAATAAAGACCGCTGCTCCCTAATTGATACTCAAATGCAGCATCATATTTTTCCAATTATATGTTTTTATAATAGCAGCTATTACAATATTTGCATATAGTTTTTTTCTTGGTTGACTAAAATATGTTGTTGTTGTTTTTTATTTTGTTCATATAGATCGATAATTGCTGAGTGCTTGGCATCATTTTTGTATGTCTTCATTGTATGTGGTGCTGCAGCTGGAGCTGGCGTAGGTGCTTCGGTTTCATCTGTTTTATTGGCAGCAGCACTGTCATCTGGATTCGTTGTGACAACTTTAACACAATGCTTCTCGCATATATCAGGTAAAAAAAACCAAAGAAAACATTTCTATCTATTTTTTTCGATCAACATAAACAGGAAAAAAAGCAGGCACTCCAAACAATAGTGCACAGTATAACTTTACTTTGCGTCCTTTTCAATGCGTCGAAACGTATGGTTCTTTTTTTGTCGGTGTTTTCCATACGGTGACCATATTGCGATCTAATATAGTTTCACCTTTTCTCTTTTATGTGCATTTTATTTTATTTTAAATGCTGCTGTCAAACAGCTTCTTTTTGTTATTTTAAAACGTATGTACTTTTTATTACTGCAAGGCACACCGAAAGTGCACAGCTTCAATTAAATATTCCAATTTCATTTTGTTTCTTTCACTGGTTGGCATATCTGCAATTCGGGAATTTTTCTTTTCTTCACTTTCTTCGTTCGGGAATTTTTTTTCTCAGCTTTCTTCGTTTCAAAACGAATGATGGATAATTGCCATCCATTGAAAATCGTGTACCTTGCGCTTCACTTTGCTGTTGACCCATAAAACATAAACGTGTCAAACAAACAAATTGTGTTCGAATTACCTTGTCCACCGACAGTACGAAAAAAGAAGAGAATAATCTCGTTTCACTCGAAAAATGTATCCAATTACATCTCCGTCACTGTGCACACCGGCACATTTGCACATCCAATTCAGATCTATTTACAAATTTACGTTTCGTTTCTTTCTCTTCACAAAGGTGCTCATATTAATCCAGCTGTAACATTCGGTATGGCTATAATCGGTGCAATTTCTCCGCTACGTGCAGCAATGTACATCACGGCACATTGTGGTGGTGGAATTGCCGGTGCAGCGCTTCTCTATGGGTAAGTTTTCACAAAATGTTTATTTTTCTTTTCATTTGTACTTTGAACGTCATATAAAAATTAAATATGAAAAACATGTAGTATTTGAAATCAAAAAGCTATTTTTCATCCAATATTCGTATAATTTGTTAATGTTTGTTTGAATATTTCATGAGTTTGTCATCAAAAAAAAATTATAGATTGTAATTTTATCATTCGAATTCGACGGAAAAGGATGTGCGGGAAATCAAATGTAATAAAAAAATGTATTCAAAATGTAGCGTCGCCAATGAATTTCGAAACCAAATAATATAAATAAAAGCAACAATATCAACCGCCAGGTGATACTTTCTTTCGTGCGTCAACGAAAAAAAAAAAATAATTCAGAATGCGTGGAGTTACAATAATAAAGATAATCACAATCACGAAGACGATACTAAAAAGAGAATGAAATGCACATGGTCACGTGTACACTATGCTGTGCACACGAATCGATTGTTTGCTTGCACACACTTCAGGTACGCGTTCTGTTTTCCTTCGCATATGAATAAAATGCAATCGGACGCCTGTTGAACACCAAAGCATTGAAATTATTGTAAACATTGAAAATTGAATGCATTTTTTAAAGGATATCATCGATTAACGCACACGATCTTATCGTCGATCGAATGGACTCGTCCATTTGTTGAGCCCTGTATTTTCTGGCTGCAATTATAATAATAATCACATGAAAACGTATAATTTTTCATATTTTCGAAAGAAATGGCCACATTTGATCAGCCACTTTATTTCATTTAATTGACTAAATTCATTTTTTGCGCCATTTTCATCAGCATTTTGGCATTAGCCAAATGCGCAAGTGATGAACGAGTGCATGCTTCAACACTGTGTAATTTGAAATTTGATGTGGCCAAGTCCATCAATGATAATTGCTGCAACATAAAATTAGTTTGCATTCACGTTGAACAACATAATTCATTACCTTCTTCAAATTCGTCAGATGCCAGTTCAAATACACTTACGTATATTTGGCACACTCAACCGCCCTTTTAACGGTTTTCTTATATAAATTCAAAAAAAAAAAAGGATTCCCATTCAAAAGATAGAGAAGAAGATGCCTTCCTTAAATTGACCGCAGGGAGACGTACTTCAGTTTATAAATTATTGACGATACATATGCGCGCATGCTGTTCGAATGCCATCAATTCATCTTAGTTTTTTTACGAACGAAGAAAAAAAAATCACTACCAAACAGATTTCAACCCTCAACGAAAAATTAATATTCTTCGTCATGTTCGAAATAGATTTAAGGATGGCTAAAGACACAAGCTAAAGAAGAATCCATTTGAAGAAACACCATGATTTTCAACCAAACAAAATCTTATGTTTTATTTTAAATCGTTTTTTCTCTTCTCTTTTATGCATCGGTTTTTTTTTTGTGATTTCTGAAAACCGAAACGAAGGCGAAAAAGCATAAACGAAAGAAATAAAACGACAGATGTTTTGTATAAAATACTATATATCAGTGTGCATACAAACATACGATCGTACAACGCATTCGATGCGTTTACCAAAATCGAACGCACACATTCGTTTCTGTATCTGACAGAGTGGTAAAAAAATGCAGCCCAAAACTTATTTCGTTTTCATTAATCCACTTATTTATTTTGCTTGTTGTGTCAGTCAGTCTTTGATTTTTTTTTTCTTTCTTTCTTCGTTGAAATTCATCGCATTTATTTTTTTTTTTTTTGGATTTCGTTCATTGCACAGGCACACAGAAAACGGTACAAACAATGGCTTCGAATGATATTCTTTATATTTATTAGAATGTGTTTCTGTGTGCGCATTTTACAACATTAAACTGTGTGTCTCATGTCAGGCGTACGATTGCACAGAGTCCAAAACACGCACTGAGATGAGAAATGTGGAGAGACGAGAGAAAAAAATCAACTACTTTGAAAATCATATCTGTTCATCTCGGAGTCCTTTTCTCTTCATTTATTATCCTACTTATGAGTGATAGCTGCATGAACATTGATTTTCAGATGAACTGCTTCAATGCTTGATTTTCTTTATTTCTTCTTTCTGCTTCCTTCTGGTTTTATCGCACTTTTGTTGAGCTACTTGTTTGGCATATGTTTAAATCAAACTGTTACAATACATACCAACGATTGAATATAAGGAAGAACAAAATCCAAGACGCACATAACTGAAATTCAGCTCAATATATTCGACTTCACGTTGTTATTTTTTTTTCTTTTTTCGAATTGAAAATTGACCTGAACTTCTGCGATATCTTCGAAAGATTTAGTTTTATTTTCTCTGTCTCAACGACATTGTGTCAAAACAGAAAAGGTTTTAGCTGCAAATCGTTAGATTGAACAACATCATCTGCTGTTCTCAATAGATTTAATTCATTTGTTCTGATTCACTGGCACGCCGGTGCCAATCATCCATTGTGGCGTGAATTTTTGGACTGACGCGTTATTATGCAAACGTGCATTTTATTTTGTTTGTGAATATGATGGCATAAATCGAACCGTCAGCGAATCAGCACGCAACTCAATTCATAATAATACTCTATTATCGAAAATGTTACATCTGCAATTAATCGCATGTTTGAACAAGCTTTGGGCCGTTTTATGGCTTAATTAGCACGATGCAAAGGATCGCTTGACATATTCTTTTTTCGGTAAATTTCACGTTGCACAATGGCATAGAACTGACACTGAAACGAAAGCCAAACATACACACCGGTTGCAATAAATCAATCACACAATATTTTTCTGTTAAAATTTTATACAAACATATCGGATTGTCCATTCGACATTGATGCATATACGTATTTGGTAATGTGTCATAAGGTAATAATAATCTACGTTAACAATTGCCGATGCAAAGCCAATGTAAGATGCAATTTATTGGTGGTATTGAATAATAAATACTCATTATTCTACGTACGGCTGCAACTGAATTTTGCCCAACTCAATTGGCATTCGGGTATCAACAAAATGAAGAAAGATTGAAAAATAACCCGTATCTCAACGTTTACATATAAATACGTAAGCATAAAACAGACGACTATGCAATACAAGCAGGTGATACACCAAAAGAGATCGCTTCAATACGAAATGAAAAATCATTTCCTATTCGTTGCTTGTTTCTGAACATTCAACGAACATTTATAGCCAGCAAAAATATTGACCTTCCACGAAAGTTATTGCAGTATGCATCAGACAGCCTTTACTGTTAGAACAAAATTCAGTAAATGTGGAAAAAAAGTTGCAAAGTTTTGTGTTTGGGGAGCAATTGAAAGAGTTGAAAAAAAAAGCAAAACCAGTTCTGGCGAGATTTCAATGTAAATGAAGCAGGTGGTCTCGACAACGCTCATCCGAACCTTCTGCAAAAGCAAAATATTTTGCGGCTCAAAACAAAGCATATGATTCTGATAAAGATCGCGCCAAAACCAAATATAGGCTACCATTGAAAATGATTTGTGATTAAAATATTAATTAGTTTGAATGTTTGGCAGAGATGGAAAAAATTTAACAAACGCTGCTGAAAAGTTGAAAATAACGATGAACTTTGTTTTTGACGCATTCAGAAATGTGTGAGTGTACATAATAATACTTCAATTATTCAAATGCACTTTTTCCATTGGTATTCACTCTTATCATTTGCTTTGCTTGCAAAGTCACTGACATAAATTCGCATCACAATGAAAAATATGTTGGAATATATTCATGCGTTGCTGCCTGTGTTTATTTCTACAAGTGAAAAAAAGAGAATGGAAAATGAAAACGAACACACAAACAAATGCTCTTGATATATTGCTGTCATTACAGTTACTTGGCTCTTATCCAAAAAGCGGCTACATTCGGGATTCTTTTTATCAACAACCACATTTTCATGTAGCAAATGTGTCATGATACTTGTGTGAATTCAATTCTCCCTAAATCGCAAATGAACTCGAAAACTTTATTCACAAAGTAGGCAATTACATCTGTTAATTCACGTTTTTTAAACTCAAATACAATTTCTTCATTAATGTCGCATTCTCAACGTTCGCTTTTTTTTTAATTCTTCTTCACAACTTCAAGTGAATGCCATGTATGTGTTTAAGTAACGGGTTTTCTGTCATTTCATTGGAACTTAAATGGAATCAACAAGAAAGAATTCTGAACGAATTCTTTGGGAAAATGAGTCATACAAGTGTCATCATTCATCGCAGCTTACATGAAACTGTGACATTTTTCGAATGTATTCAATTAAAATGATTAGCTCATTATTATGTTTCAAGTTATGAGAACAAATCTTGCTGAATACGTACTAAAAAAAGAAGTCAACGTTATCTGTTGTTCTGTATTATTTTTAATTCCTTCGGTTCATAATTCAATTGGTTTGATATAACACATATGTTTGAAAAGCAGCATGTTTTCGTTCTTATTGTAATAGTCTGTTGGTTCATTCTTATTTGAGCATTGAAAAAAATGCAAAGGAAATCACATCCTTTTCAAATGAATAAAAGTATTGTTTGTCTAACTCTCATTTTCTCTAAAAGAAAGATGCATAATTGAAAAAAAAAGCCATTGATTTGCATATAGCTCATGAAGGCACGATAAAAAAAATTGTAAACCTTAAACAAATAAAATAAAACAAATCAAATGAATAGATGCTGGAAAAAGAACTGAATATGAGAAGTGATCGCGTGCACATACAGAAAATATAAAGCAAAACAAGAAAAAGGAAGAAGAAACTAAAATGAGCAACCTCATTCGTCGTCTTCGAATGGAAAGGCTCAAGTTTCAACTTATTCAGTGCGTCAGCCAAAAAACAGCAGTTGTACTAATAGATGAATGAAAATCGTGTAATGTGCTCCAGAAAGAATGCGTCGTTTCGACACCTGGCAGTTACGTTTCCTGTTTACGAAGCATTTCTTTCAGCGCGATTTCTGCATCATACCATTTGAATAGTCTGCTATTCAAACGTATATAAGAATGTTTGGCTGCTCCTTCGATTTG